GGGCGCGGGGGGGGGGCTCGGCTCTGACAGCCGGGGCTGGGGGAGCGGCTGGGCCCTCGAAGCGATGCCTCGCTGCTAACTCGTTAACGTAAGCTAGTCGCGGGGCCTGCCTCGCACGGTTCTCACGAATACGCATTCCAGGCATTTACCTGTAAAAGCACTCGGGACGGTGCCCGGCACGTAAATTGTTCAGAACATTCTCAAGATTCCCCTCCCTGGCAACGCCGTGCCCCCGTTAGGCGTCCGCGGCGGCTTCCTGCCCGTGGACCGGGTGGAGGGATGGCTACCTGCGGCTCCCGTCGGACCGGGAGGCTTCCTCCCAGAAACGCGCATCCAAGTGCGGCCCCTTCAGGCACAAGCCAAAAGGAGGGAAAGGTGCCTGGATTGCATGTCTGAAGGTGAACAGTTATGTTACTGTAGGTCAATTTTTTAACACTTGGAAAATAAATTTAATATTTGTGACCGTAGTTACTCTCCAGAGTGAGGAATAAAGCACGCTAGCAGTTCGGTGTTAATAATAAAAATTGCTCACATGTAAGGAACTTCATATAAAGAGGAGGGCACACCAAAATGTACCTGGCGCCAAATGTACATTATTTTATGTGCACATCCGATATTTTTAGTACAGTATGATCCTATAGTCATGCTTCTAAAAATTTTTTATTGAATTTATTGGGGATGACTTTGGTTACTAAAATGATACAGGTTTCAAGTATACAATTCCTTTTTTTAAAAATTTTTTTTATTAAATCTTTATTTTTTAGAGATTAATATTTTTTCTTCTTTTTTCCCCCCATAGCTCCCCTCCACCCAGTTCCCACCCGACCTTCTGCCCTTACCCCTGCCACTGTCCTAATCCATAGGTGTATGATTTTTGTCCAGTTTCTTCCCACACCCCCCACAACCCTTCCCCCCTGAGAATTGTCAGTCCACTCCCTTTCTATGTTCCTGATTCTATTATATTCACCAGTTTATTCTGTTCATCAAATTATTTATCTTCTTAAAGGATACCTTTCAGCATTTCATATAATACTAGTTTGGTGGTGATGAACTCCTTTAGCTTTTTCTTATCTGTGAAGCTCTTTATCTGACCTTCAATTCTGAATGATAGCTTTGCTGG